TGAAAGGCGCAGGAGTCACACGAGATGGAAGGGGAATCTAGACTTGCTTCATGATGGGGTTTTGCATTACAGGAGGTAATGTGGTTCAGGGACTTTGAGACATGGAACTAATAAATAGTTAGAACGTTCTGGATTGAAGATTCAGATTTGCGGTTGGTTTCCTGTCATTAAGAGGATGTCATATATACGGCATGTTATCCTATCTGCATAATTACAGGCAGTAAAGATGCTTCATCGACCCCAATATCACATCAATCAGAAGGTTGAAACACTGACGTGTTGGAATTTTAATGACGTTTTCGAAAAAGACTGCACGATGTTTGTTTTTTCACATACATGAATATACTTTTCAAAAAATATCTTGTGAAAACATATCGACGCAAGTCATTGTCATCTCGACACATATCTGGAATCATGACACATGCGTCATTGTTATTCCGACACAGACCACTAGCATTGGCAGATGCGTCACTACATCTCGACACAGACCTCAAAGTCATGTCAACACAGATCTGGAATCATGACACATGCGTCATTGTCATCTCGACAGAGACCTCTACTCTTGACACGCGCATCATTATCACTACTGCCTCAGAGCTCTATCAACAAATCTGAAATCTTGACACATGCGTCATTGTCATGTCAACACAGATCTGGAATCTTGACACGCGCGTCATTATCATACTGACTCAGAGCTCTAAGCCATGTCAACACAGATCTGGATTCTTGACACGCGCGTCATTATCATACTGACTCAGAGCTCTAAGCCATGTCAACACAGATCTGGAATCTTGACACGGGCGTCATTATCATACTGACTCAGAGCTCTAAGCCATGTCAACACAGATCTGGAATCTTGACACGCGCGTCATTATCATACTGACTCAGAGCTCTAAGCCATGTCAACACAGATCTGGAATCTTGACACGCGCGTCATTATCATACTGACTCAGAGCTCTAAGCCATGTCAACACAGATCTGGAATCTTGACACGCGCGTCATTATCATACTGACTCAGAGCTCTAAGCCATGTCAACACAGATCTGGAATCTTGACACGGGCGTCATTATCATACTGACTCAGAGCTCTAAGCCATGTCAACACAGATCTGGCATCTTGACACGCGCGTCATTATCTTGACAGCCATGTCAACACAGATCTGGCATCTTGACACGCGCGTCATTATCATACTGACTCAGAGCTCTAAGCCATGTCAACACAGATCTGGCATCTTGACACGCATGTCATTATCATACTGACTCAGAGCTCTAAGCCATGTCAACACAGATCTGGAATCTTGACACGCGTGTCATTATCATACTGACTCAGAGCTCTAAGCCATGTCAACACAGATCTGGATCTTGACACGCGCGTCATTATCATACTGACTCAGAGCTCTAAGCCATGTCAACACAGATCTGGAATCTTGACACGCGCGTCATTATCATACTGACTCAGAGCTCTAAGCCATGTCAACACAGAGATCTGACACGGATTATCTTGACAGGCTCGCGCGTCATTATCATACTGACTCAGAGCTCTAAGCCATGTCAACACAGATCTGGAATCTTGACACGCGCGTCATTATCATACTGACTCAGAGCTCTAAGCCATGTCAACACAGATCTGGAATCTTGACACGCGCGTCATTATCATACTGACTCAGAGCTCTAAGCCATGTCAACACAGATCTGGCATCTTGACACGCGCTGCATTATCATACTGACTCAGAGCTCTAAGCCATGTCAACACAGATCTGGCATCTTGACACGCGCGTCATTGTCATCTCGACACAGGTCTGGAATCTTGACATTTGCATCACTGTAATGTGACATGTCGACTTCAGACTGTTCACGTTAAGTGTGTGCCGAGTTCTGTTGGTTCTGTGGAAGGGAAATGACTGTTTTTTCACCAACTGCGGGTGTATCTATTTTCCAACAACATGGACCCTGACGTAGCAAACCTCCCGCATGATGAACTAGCAGACATATTAATATCAAGTAAACTGAAGCAGCCAGGAGCTCGGTAGCCTCTCGATGCTCGTGTACAGCTGGTTGGACGCAGGGGTGATGTATCTGGCTAACCACCCACCAGATGCAGGCCCATGACGCTGCCATATGCGGCTCGTGTGGCCCCGATCCCTCCCACAGAGGCAGGGGGATAAACATCGGCGCAGTGTTGTATTTTGCCAAAGTGCCTGATTGCCACATCATTACGAAGAACCGTACACAAACACTTCCCTCGTCTCTAAACCATACCCCACTTCAAACTTTGAATGATCAGAGAATGTTGCTGATGTAAACATCGGTTCCGATGGAGATACGATGAGTAATTGTCAGGACAGTCAGATGAATAAACACGGGAGGAGGAACGGCACCTGGCGGAACCTGCAGCTGAAGTCACGAATATGATATGGACTGGGTTCCCGTCTTCTGACAATTACATCACGTATACACGCAAGTGAATTCACGAATATGTTATGGACTGGGTTCCCGTCTTCTGACAATTACATCACGTATACACGCAAGTGAATTCACGAATATGTTATGGACTGGGGTCCCGTCTTCTGACAATTACATCACGTATACACGCAAGTGAATTCACGAATATGTTATGGACTGGGGTCCCGTCTTCTGACAATTACATCACGTATACACGCAAGTGAATTCACGAATATGTTATGGACTGGGGTCCCGTCTTCTGACAATTACATCATGTATACACTGGCAGGTGAATTCACGAATATGACAAGAACTGGGATTCCTTCTTCTGACAATTACATCACGTGTACATGTAGGCGAATATACGAATATTATATGGTCTGGAATCCCGACATCTGACAATTACATGTAACTTGTGTTATATTTGGGATTACAATTACAGCACGTATACATGCAGGTGAATTCACGAATATGACAAAAAACTGGGATCCCGTCTTCTGACAATTTCATCACGTATACAAGCAAGTGAATTCACGAATATGACAAAAACTAGGATCCCGTCTTCTGACAATCGAATATAAATGTAGGCGAAAAAACTCACAGAATGTGAACAGGGTCCCCGTTTACTGAAATCCAGAATTGTAGACAAAATATGGCATATCCAATACTCACCGGGCTGAATTGCTCCTATATGGACGCCTCTGTACCGGAAACGCAAGACATAAGATAATAACACACTAGTCAAATACAGACTGGGTCCGCACCTATCGACAAGACGCAATTGATACACAAGTACGCTTAGAACCGCGAAAAGAGATCCCAGTGTCGTTAATTTCTTATCTCTAAAACGTTTAATTGTAATTAAATAATCTAAATTGTTGTAAAAATATTAGAACGTGACAAAAAATGTTTATTTAAATAATTTAGTTTATGTTCTCGACAGCCATCGTGACAGATGCCACAAAGCGACACATATATGATACACTGCTGAAAGTCCTCTCATTGCCCGTTCCATTAATGATGTGTTTAAATGGCTAAATCTATAAACAAACGCATTGAGAAAGGATGTTATGAGGTTCCACCTATTTGGTCTCCTCCGCTCCAATTGTTTTCATTGGGATTTGACAGCATTTGGTCTTAACACGTGCTACACACAACAAACTCTATTATTCATTCTGGAATGGCGGAACACTTTTATTTCCTCTCTATATGAGAAGAATGAGAATGGTTTTACGCCGTTTCAGCAATATTCCAGCAATATCACGACCAGGGATGCCACAAATGGGCTTCACACATTGTACCCATGTGGGGAATTGAACCCGGGTCTTCGGCGTGACGAGCGAGCGCTTTAACCACTGGGCTACCCTACGGTCCCCACTGCCATGAAACCAAACTATCGGATCTATAAAAACGACTCAACCAGCAAAGGCTACTGGGGTCCTGTTCTAAACCTGGATTCCGCGTATATTTCAAAAACAGACACGTGGCGTCATGATGGGTCCATTCTTTGTTTCAGGTGAACGACCAGATGTGTTAAATTACTGATATAATTAGGCACATTGTATACAGACCCCCATCCTGTGGGAATTATAGGAGTGACACTTGGGTAATCTACACAGTTCCTTTCCATTAATTATGATTGTTGGTCGTTTCACTGTCGTTTCTTCTTTCTGCAGAATTCTGTTTACGGAAAGGCGTAATGTTTGACGGAATACTTCCGGAATCCGAAACATTTAGAAAACTCCATGTGTCCATTTCTTGTGACCAATTTTAGGCCGGTAGTTCCTCGGGGCCAATCCGAATGAAAGTTGCTTTGGCAGGGTATCGTCACTGTACACGTGTTTATTCTCATGAGTCAAGGTCACATGTGTTCTATGCGTACAGATGAGTGAGTAATATTCCAGCCGTTTTCAGCAATATTCCAGCAATATCACGACAGGGGAACAGAAATAGGATGAACACATTGTACCCATGTGGGTATTCGAACCAGGGTTTCGGCGAGACGAGAGAACGCTTTAACCACTAGGCTAACTGATGGGTTCTACCTGCGGTGGGATTCTTTCGTTCCTGGTTACCTACTTCAGATTTTAGTCGAAATGCGTATAAATAACGAACTACGGTTGTAACGAACTAAAATGAGTTGTCCCTTTTAGTTCGTATACAATACTATCAGTTCCCGTTGAAATGTAACATCTTGGTTAGCCCAGTGGTTAAAGTGTAAAGACTTGGGTCCAAGTTCGATTCTGGACTTTGGTACCATGTTTGCAGCCCGTTCTTTGTTTTCTGACCCTGGGTCCTGATCCACGAACCGTTCTTAGCGCTACGACATTCGTAAGCATATGATGAACTATAGTTACGACAGGTCGTAACATTACGAACGCTTTGTGGATCGGAATATTGATATAAAGAGACGTAAATGTCTAATTCGCCCACACAACCACTCGCCCACACATCCAATGATTTGTTACGAAGATTGTTATACTATTTTTAGGTTTTAAAGGGTATCGTCGACACTTAATAATAGCCATGTCTCACCTGTACGTGTTTTATGTGTTACAGTGTCGCAGCCCATGGCGTTACGGATCGCCGCTCCGCCCATGACGTTCAGAGTGTCGCCAAAGTGTTTGAATTTCACCCGTGGCAACTATCAGAAGATGGCGTTTTACAGTCCAGGATACCCCAACAAATACACAAACGACACGGACTGTGTCTTGTACCTGGAAGGTAGGCTACCACATATATCTCGGAGTTTAAAAAATAGGTCATTGGGACAGTGGATCAAGCGTCAGACCGAAGAACGCAAAGTCGTTGGTTCGATCCCCGGGATTATGTTCAGACACTTCTTAGCTACAGATATAAAACCAGTTACCTCTTTGTAACAAATAATATGATCTAAATAATTTTGTTTAAAATACACCTAACAAAATATGTATTTTTTTAAAAAAACAGAGAACTTAACCACTATGAAATTTCCCCGCTTTACGGATGACAATTGTCAACTTTGCTCCGTGACCAGGGCCCCTTCCTTAAAGTGATCTTAACGAAACTACTGTCGAAGTTACCATCGTCTTAGCGTAGCGTACGATTGCTTTGTCGAACGAGGCTCTGAGCTCATGTCCAGTAGACTACGTTTATCACGTACACGATTGTAACGAACTGGCGATAATTCGAACTGCATTTTTCAACACGGCCACTTCGTGTATATTTTAGTCGAAATTCGTATAAAGAACTACGGTTATCACGAACTAAAATTAGTGGTGTCCTTGAGTTCGATATAACGGTAGTTTAACCTAACCCCAGACATATTTAGACAGTTTCGGTAATATCTTTGAAGAATGGTTCATATTCTCTCCAGATGTATCAACAGGAACTCTATACCATCGTGTTTATGAATAAAATAAACAATACACTATCGTGTAGTACCTTTGATGTGTACACGTGGAAACTGAAGTTTATAAAACGTAATCAAAACGACGAAAATATTTAGTCAGTGAACGGTTGCCACGTGGACAATAATAAACGAGACGACAGAAATAGTATCATGCATGTTTTCGAAACTGTCGAAAGGCTTAATTCAAAATTACTGGTGTTTACAGTTGAAGCGATATTATCAACACCCCCCCTGCAGTAGCATCACCTCAGGAGCATCCCCTGTCAATCAATCGAGACTTGGACTCACCCTCTCTTATCGGCGCCACTGAATATTACATATACTGTTACGCCGAGCGTTTAGTTCGAAGGAAGGGCCATCCCACGGGTGTGATAAGGCGCGAGATGAGAACGAGAGATGGCGAGATGATCGCGAGCAATCTTGCAACCTGTCGCCGCTGTCGTCATGAGGAAACGAGATTACACAGGAATGCCAAAACGCATTGATCAATTTCAGATAAGGCTGATGTAACAGTTGGCGTGTAAATTATTTTTAAATATGTTTAGAATACCTTTTTAGGTGGCTCATCTCGCGGTGGAATATGACACACATCAACATTCTAGGACATTCTTTTTAAGACGTATAGTATCAGACATGTGAGTTCTTGAAAAGGGACATTCAGTCAAGTACATGTCATTTTCATTTGCGAAGAAGTTCGACTTGAGACATAGAGCATTTCCGGCGGTGTTAGTAGTTATAAATAGATCCATTTGGAATATTTTGGAAAAATGATTTATGTGTGTATCTGTGACATTAACCTTAAGTGGCGCAAGGGAAATCTAGAATGAGTCAGTTAGTCAGTTAGTCAGTTCTCTGAACTATGTGGGCGGTGGGGTAGTCTAGTGGTTAAAGCGTTGGCTCGTCACGCCGAAGACCCGGGTTCGAATCCCCACATGGGTACAATGAGTGAAGCCCATTTCTGGTGTCCCCTGCCGTGATATTGCTGGAATATTGCTAAAAGCGGCGTAAAACCAAACTCAGTCAGTCAGTCAGTCTGAACTATGTATTCCTGCAAAAACCTGTGAAACATTCACCGAGATTCAATTGAATCTTCTCTCACTGGGGCGCCTTTCAGTTTAAATGGGGCAATTTCTTGCCATGAAAATTATATGTCCAACATATTCTTTATGGATTTAAGCTTCTTTATTCTGTATTCTTAAATCCATAAAAAATATCTTGGACATCTATATTTACGGGTGCTTCGCTTGCGCAACAGATTCCTGACTGTGACGTCATCAGCAACAACCAGCCTTACCCATCCAGTCAGTAGAAGGACCATATCAGACGACTCCGCCGATTCGGTATCAGAGCCTACAGACCATTCCGAGGCGTGACGTTAACTCGCGTGAACATCGACGTCGTCGATTGGAAGCAGGCACGTAAGAGTTCGGCAGTGGCAGCCGCGGAACTGGCGCCGGGTACTCTTCAGTGACGAGAGCCGCTTCCAGTTGAACAAAGCTGATGGTCGGGTACGAGTCTACCAGACGTCGGAACGAACGCACAGCACGTTGTTGCGTTCAGGAAGTTGAGACGTTTGGCGGCAGTAGTGTGATGGTGTGTGTGTGTGTGTGTGTGTGTGTGTGTGTGGGTATTTGTGGCGAGAGGAAGACTGACTTGTTGGTGATAGAGGGAAACCTGAATGCCCGTCGATACATTGATGTTGTTTTACGACCTGTCGTGTTACCCTTCCTCTACAACTTCTAAATGCCGCTAAAAGACATCATGAAAATTATATAGTTTACGACGTTAAGAATTTGTCCACCAGTAATTATAAATAACGGGATAATAAGTGTGGTGTTTTTGTTTTTTTGGTTTTGGAGTGCACATTTTAATATGACGTCCCGATCTTTCAGACCCGAATGACCTTCTTTAGGGGTGGAGGGTTGGGGGTAAGCAGAGGGGTGTAAACATTTTCAAAAGATAAACCTGCGGAGGAAGTGCTTGTCAGAATATGAGAAATGGCCATAAACACAAAAATATTACTCAAGTTGAACTATGTTCTTGACTCTCTAATGACTGCCGTTTGAAATTATGATGAAAGACTTCAAAGCATCTTATCGTACCAAAAGGCTTGTATGTTAAGCAAAGTAAGTGGGCGAGTTTTCTCGCCGTTCCATCATGGTGTAATGATTCCTGACAGGGAATAGAACCCAGGTATTTTCTAGGTGATGAGCGAGCGCACTACCTATTGAAATACCATACATGGCTTTAAGGATATTTGGGGATAAACACAAAATAAGAGTAAACTAAATAGGTGTGTTTGTCGATTTTCTCTGTGCATATATTTTATGTTCATATTTGTTCTAGCTTTTTTGAAATAACGAGCTGACTGTTTATTGAATTAACCAGTTAAAATATGTGCAAATCCGTTTTGGTGTGAAAGCGATGTTACGACAATAAAATCATAAAGCATGACTTGAAAATATTTCCATTTTAGATACTTACACTCGGTAAATCCTTTTAAAATTTAAAAAGTCAAACTTTCAATAACTGTAATATATCAGGATAGTTTGATTACATATGGTTTAAAAATGATAAAATGTGTCTGATTACTTTGACGGGCTGTTATATTTTCAATTACAAAAAAATAAACAATCATTTTTGAAAATCAGCTCATATATCATTCGGGGTGTTACTTGGTACATAGGCTATTCTCATCACTGTCGAGATATTTCGGGATGAAGAAAAATAAAGAACCCATTTAGGCATTTCTTGCTGATGACCCGACAAGAGTTGCATCTCTTTTTATACCGGGAGTATCTACAGAACCTGACAGTGAATGCTATTGGAGGATACTCTGTCGCAACACATGCTTAGTTTTCTGTCCAATTAAAGCGCGTGGGGGTAAAGTGTTACTGTGTATTTATGTTAGAGATAGACATCAACATGTTCCCATTTACAACATGTATCTGTGACTGTATTGCTGTTGCCCACAAAGAGGGTCATATCCATTTTAGAGCGTTTTTGTTTGCTTGTTGTAAGGTGTTTACATTTTTTCGGCGAAATTTTAGACTGAAAACATTATCCGTGTATTTCTTGTTTCCTACACATCTGTTTCCACCCCCACTTCTTGCTGCATTGCGTCCATATCCTCTGGCATTTTCATCCCCCACATGGCTCCCCAACGCTAACCCGACTCCCTAATCCCGTGTCTCCAACTGCATACTGACTCAGTCCCTCCCAACCCCTCCTCGACTTTGCTGGTCCCCTACACCCCGCCTCCTGACCCCTCGTCCATCCTACTCCTCACCCCACCGCGTCTCCTAACACCACATCCACACCCCCTCCCCGTCCCCACATCCTAATGCTTACCGAACCAGTCTCATGATATCATTTCTCATCTGAATGGTTACAGATTCAATCACGTGATATCATTTCTCATCTGAATGGTTACCGAACCAATCTCGTGATATCATTTCTCATCTCAATGGTTACCGAACCAATCTCGTGATATCATTCCCATCTGAATGCTTACCGAACCAATCTCGTGATATCATTTTTCCATCTGAATGCTTACCGAACCAATCTCATGATATCATTTCCCATCTGAATGCTTACCGAACCAATCTCATGATATCATTTTCACATCTGAATGCTTACCGAACCAATCTCGTGATATCATTTTCCATCTGAATGCTTACCGAACCAATCTCATGATATCATTTCACATTTGAATTCTTACCGAACCAATATCATGATATCATTTTCCATCTGAATGGTTACCGAACCAATCTCATGATATCATTTCCCATCTGAATGCTTATAGAACCAATATTCATGATATCATTTCCCATCTGAATGCTTACCGCACCAATCTCATGATATCATTTCCCATCTGAATTGTTACCGAACCAATCTCATGATATCATTTCCCATCTGAATGCTTACCGAACCAATCTCGTGATATCATTTCCCATCTGAATGGTTACCGAACCAATCTCATGATATCATTTCCCATCTGAATGGTTACCGAACCAATCTCATGATATCATTTCCCATCTGAATGCTTACCGAACCAATCTCATGATATCATTTTCCCATCTGAATGCTTACCGAACCAATCTCTGATATCATTTTCCATCTGAATGCTTACCGAACCAATCTCCTGATATCCCGTTCCCATCTGAATGCTTACCAAACCAATCTCTTGATATCCTCTCCCATCTGAATGCTTACCGAACCAATCTCCTGATATCCTCTTCCCATTTGAATGCTTCCAAACCAATCTCTTGATATCCTCTCCCATCTGAATGCTAACCGAACCAATCTCCTGATACCCCATGGATAACGTCTTGAGACCTCACCCTCCTACCCTCGTCTCCTCTCTATTTTCATTCCATCATGGGATAAACGATATTCTCCCTTTCCACACCCTAACCCCCACTGGTTCCATATCCTGCGAATGTAAAGTTAGAGTTCGACGTATAGATTATAAGGTAAATACACCGTAAGTTCATCTGCCATTCTCTCCCAGTGGATGGTGCTGCAAGATAGCTCAGTGGGTAATGCTCTCACTCGTCATGGGGACGATACGGTTTCGTTTTCCAACACTGTAGCATGCGTGAGACCCATTCTTGATTTCCCCCGCTGTGATATAGCAGGAATATTGCTGAAGGGGTGTACAACCAGACTCTCACACTCGTACTCTGCAATCAAATGGCGCCGATTTAACAAACATATCAGGGAGAGGGTTCGTATTCAGTTTCCTCTATTATCTCCCTTGTTTTCTTGCTTAACTAAGGGTCAAAAGAGTTGGACTGACAAAAACGTTGTTTGTTTATATTTACCTTACTTTTTCACCCACTGATTCAACCTCTCACTCATTCACTAACGTCTTCGCTCGATCATTCACTTACTCTTATTATCTTCCACTTATTTCTTCACTCATTCATTCACTCGCTCACTTATGCCTCCATTTGTTCTCTCACTCACCTATTCATTCACTCACTCACCTATTCACTCATTCATTCACTCAATCTACCCGTGAAGGTCCGGGTTAAGATATTGATCTTCAGTAACCCATGCTTGTCGTAAGAGGCGACTAACGGGATCGGGTGGTCAGGCTCGCTGACTTGGTTGACACGTGTCATCGGTTCCCAATTGCGCAGATCGATGCTCATGCTGTTGATCACTGGATTGTCTGGTCCAGATTCGATTATTTACAGACCGCCGCCATATAGCTGGAATATTGCTGAGTGCGGCGTAAAACTAAACTCACTCACTCATTCACTCAATCACCTATTCCTCCACTAATTCATTCATCCACTCACCCATTCATTCACTGATTCACCTATTGATCCACTCATTCATTTACTCTCACCTATTCCTTCACTTCTTCACTCATTCCTTTGTTCACACCATTCGCTCACTCGTAGACTTTCATTCTTCTTCGCCGCCATATAGCTGGAATATTGCTGAGTGCGGCGTAAACCTAAACTCATTCACTCACTCACTCATTATTCTTCACGCACTCACTTCGGTCACTTGTTCCCTCACACATTCACTCACCGATTCCCCATTATGTCCACAGCGCCACAACACTTCAAGATTCAGCTCGACTTCAGGGACGTCTTCAAGATCGAAAAGTCCGAGAACTGCAAGTACGACTACCTCGAGGTGCGCGACGGCCCCTTTGCCTACTCGCCCCTAATAGACCGCTTCTGCGGGGACGACTTCCCCCCGCTTGTGTCCTCCACCTCGCGCTTCCTCTGGATGAGGTTCAAATCTGATGACCTAATTCAGGACGAGGGGTTCAAGGCCATTTACTCCTATATCAAAGACACAAGTAAGTAGAACATCGTTTTTTAAATACATAGAGATTATGCTTTACTTCTGTATATATTAGGCATATAATATCATATTCTTACAGATGAGGGGCGGTGGGGTAGCCTAATGGTTAAAGCGTTGGCTCGTCACGCCGAAGACCCGGGTTCGAATCCCCACATGGGCACAATGTATGAAGCCTATTTCTGGTGTCTCCCGCCGTGATGTTGCTGGAATATTGCTAAAAGCGGCGTAAAACCAAACTCAGTCAGTCAGTCTTACAGATGACCTCATTTAACTGTGTACCGTTATCCACGCAAAAGTGAACTCATGACAACTCTCCGAGGCGTTAAACAATACGTTGGTGGCGGAAACAGCCGAATAGGCCCGAGACGTTCCGAATGCCACCTCTTGAAAATAATCCCATGACTAACGACCGATGTTCCGTAGTAACTAAATGTGTATAAACAAGACCATATGCACAGAACGTTTACTTCAGTGAAAATATTCTGTATACTCACCCGTCAGAAAATATGTTGCGGATACTCCGGCTGTCACCGATACATGTGTTTTTATAGCAGGGGAAATAGACGCAATTTCACCCCACCTAACCAAGGGCATATGGCAAAACAATGAGCATAAAAAAATAACGCTTGTCATTACATAAAAACAACACTCACGCTAGATACACAAAGAAATCCGTCTCACTGAAATGTCAAATATCCAGACGCTTGTTCTGTAGAGCCGGGTTGAGGTTTGATGTGCATGATGTGAGTCCTGTAGTCTCTATATAGTGTACACTGGGAATGGTCAGAAAGAGAAATATACATTCCTGAAATATTAATGGACTATGCTCAGTTCCTGGTTTTAAAATTTCGTAGATACCCGCATATATGTGAGTTAAGACACCCTGTGTATTTACAGTAACATCACTCAGGAGCGAGAGTAGGGGACTGACCGCGATCTATTCTCGGGACAGCCTGGGCTTATTAAATGAAACTGCTCTTAAATAGAATGGCAAAAATCGTTTGTTTTTCTGCTCAGGCTTTACCCCAAGAAAGATTGCGTTTTCATTACATACTGGGTATCTGTCAAACATTAATGCTCACATCACACCCACACCCACACCACATTAACACCCACACCCACCCACACCCGACCACCCCTACCCTACCCCAATAGTAAATGGTTGACAAATAACATGTAGGCTGAAATTTACAAGACAACTCAAAACAGTGTAACGTTTTACTTTGAATTAAACCAAATAAAAAGGCATAATATTTAGATTTTTTATATTTTTTTCCTGTAATGATCAGCCTTTGGTTAGAATCCCGATAGCCCGATAGCAGATTTTTATATATGAAAAACAATGTTTGCTAGAGGCTGTGATTAGTGTATGCTGATGGTATATTTTGTGTTTACATTAATATATATTTCGATACATTTTAATTACAAGTAGATGTCCATCTATATAATTATTTAGATATGTGAAGTTCAGAAATCATCAACTGCATTTTTCACACAGGGTTAGATTAAGTTGATAATAATGTATATACATGTTTAATTATTATATATGTGACATATATAGTTCATGCATATTGTATACTCCTCTGAATACTTGTTGCTGTATGAAGCTATTTCTAAATGAATCTATATACGACATATGTTATGGGACAGTTATTTATGCGCTTCTTTTCTTTTTCAGCTCAGAATGATGGGAATGTGTTTAGCGAAGGTGAGTACCTTCTAATACCTGTTAGACCCGGGTTCGATTCCCCACATGGGCAAAATGTGTGAAGCCCATTTCTGGTGTCCCCCGCCGTGATATTGCTGGAATAATACTAAAAGCGGCGTAAAACTAAACTCAGTCAGTCAGTCAGTCTAATACCTGTTAATACCTGCAGAAGTTCAAGGTGCCATATTTTTATCTAACGCTAGACACGCCTATGAACGCGCTCCACCAGTGTGTTCACATTTTCAGGACAACATATTGCACCCTTCAAACAACGCAATGATATTTCAACGTCATCTTAAAATCACTGTCTATAAATTATCAGGGACAGGGGGGTGGGTGGGTGGGGGTGGGGTTCCTTTCAACTAGCAACGTTCATAATTATATGTACTTGTATGTCTCACAGATCGTGCCTCATGGTTGTAAAGGGTAATGAGTGCGTAAAATCTGTATTCATTTAAAATATTCCCTTATTGGCATAAGTGATGAATACTTACACAGGCTCTTTCCACGGGTTGTTTATGTCTGCTGTGTCTCACAGCCAACGATCACTCTTAGCACTACTTAAACCCAGGTATTATTACCGCGGACGTGAAGCAATCATACAAGGGATAACAGATAACACCGGTGCCGGTGCGGAAAGGGAATTAAATCATATCGGGACGTTTGAGAGCACGTGTAACTTAAGGTCCTCCAGCCATTAGGTATTGGTCGATGACATCCTCTAAGTGACGTAAGTCTTTATGAGGTTCTTTGCGATGGTCAGCTAGAGACGTCCACTGCCTTCACTTTCTACAGGGATGGTGTGGTAGCCTAATGGTTAAAGCGTTCGCTCTTCACGCTGATGATCCGGGTTCGATTCCCCACATGGTTACAATGTGTGAAGCTCATTTCTGGTTCCCCTGTCGTGATATTGCTGGAATATTGCCAAAAGCGGCGTAAAACTAAACTCACTCACTCATTGTCTACATGATTGTTGGTGTTTCAGCCCCGGCTCCTGTGTGTCGCCAGTTCTTGGAAGTGTCCCCGTCCCAGCCCAACGGCGTCCTGTCCTCATCCCGTCTGGGGCACGAGATCACGTCATACCAAGTGCCACGCCCTTATGACTGCACGTGGGAGCTCCACACGGACAAGAGATACGGGGTAGGTCGAGGAACCCCTGTCGACTTGAGTCGCCTTCGGCCACTACAGAACTACCTCCCTGTTTCGCATAAAACTGGAGAATATAAATTTATATTTTCAGCAATGGTTGGAAATATTGAAAATTACGGTTAGCAATATTCCTGAAACTAGTATAATTAGATAGTAAGGATCGGTTCACAAAATAATTCCTAACGATATCCAATCATTATCATCATCATAATCATCATCATCATCGTCGTCATCATCATCATTGTTATCATTATCATTACAGTATTAGTTACAATATATCCAATCATTATCATCATCATAATCATCATCATCATCGTCGTCATCATCATCATTGTTATCATTATCATATAGGGTATTATCAGTTAAAATATATCATCAATCATTATCACAGTATTAGTTACATCATCATCAATCCATCATCGTCGTCATCATCATCAGTGTTATCATTATCATTACAGTATTAGTTACAATATATCCAATCATTATCATCATCATAATCATCATCGTCGTCATCATCATCATTGTTATCATTATCATTACAGTATTAGTTACAATATATCCAATCATTATCATCATCATAATCATCATCATCATCGTCGTCATCATCATCATTGTTATCATTATCATTACAGTATTAGTTACAATATATCGAATCATTATCATCATCATAATCATCATCTTCGTCATCATCATCAGTGTTATCATTATCATTACAGTATTAGTTACAATATATCCAATCATTATCATCATCATAATCATCATCGTCGTCATCATTATAATCATCATTGTTATCATTACCATTACAGATCTACGTGCGGACACATAATCTGACAATGCGTCGTCCCCAACGCTGTGACCAGAACTACATCGCCTTGTACAAGCGTACTACACTGGACAAGACGAAGTATGTACAATATTGTGCCGGACCCAAGGCGGAGATGAAGACAAAGGAAAACAGGGTGTTTGTCCGGCTGTACGGCAAGACCCCCGCGAACCGACCGGACGTAGAGATGGTCTACACTATATACAAACATGGTCAGTATTCTAAGTGGGGCGGTCGGGTAGCCTAGTGGTTAAAGCGTTCGGTCGTCACGCTGAAGACCTGGGTTCGATTCGACGTGGATATATTTGAAGCCCATTTCTGGTGTCCCCCGCCGTGATATTGCTAGAATATTGCGGAAAGCGGCGTAAAACACAACTCACTCACTCACTAAGCTATGGTAGATCTACCCGGGCCCTGACATTAAGTCACAGGATATCGGGAATGCTCATTAGCTGTCGGATGTTTCCGGAAATGGGGCCAAAGCCCCACCTTTTCACCTTTCCTACTTTCAAAACCAAACTTTCGAAATTACTGTTTGCGAATAATGTCAAGAATTAATATAAGTCAGCGACTACAAGAATTGTTTTAATTGTTTTATTCTTTATAGGACGTGTTATTCAAAACCCTGAGTAGGATCGGTCTGGACTTTCAATTATTCATAAATCTTAAAATTTTGAACATTTCCCTTAACCCCTTTTAAAAACGAGTAAGACTTGCTACCAATACGGGCATACTCTGCCTTTGTTCGCTCATTGGAAAAACAGTTTTTATTATTTTAGCCCCTTCCGTTTGGTCACTTGTATAGTATGTGATGTTGTAGATGATTGTGTTTCTATCGTAGCAATGGGCTGTTGCTATACCACTCAAATTATGTTAAACAATAAGGAATTCTTTCATATTACTACAGTTAAATCTGTCACATTCTTAGACTTTTTTTATTTAGTATACAAATGTGTTCTCTCTGTGTCTACAAATGGGAGCGTTTTCTCAGTCGTGTAATTGTGATCTGTTCTCTGGACAGATGGGGAGGTGTGTTCTGCTCTCTTGACAGGTGGGGAGGTGTGTTTTGTTCTCTGGACGGGTGTGAAGGTGTGTTTTGTCCTCTGGACGGGTGTGAAGGTATGTTCTGTTCTCTGGACGGGTGTGAAGCTGTGTTCTGTTCTCTGGACGGGTGAAAAGGTGTGTTCTGTTCTCTGGACAGGTGTGAAAGCGTGTTCTGTTCTCTGGACAGGTGTAAAGGTGTGTTCTGTTCTCTGGACGGGTGTGAAGGTGTGTTCTGTTCTCTGGACAGGTGTGAAGCTGTGTTCCGTTCTCTGGACAGGTGTGAAAGCGTGTTCTGTTCTCTGGACGGGTGTGAAGGTGTGTTCTGTTCTCTGGACAGGTGCGAAGGCGTGTTCCGTTCTCTGGACAGGTGTGAAAGCATGTTCTGTTCTCTGGACGAGTGTGAAGATGTGTTCTGTTCTCTGGACAGGTGTGAATGTGTGTTCCGTTCTCTGGACAGGTTTGAAGGTGTGTTCTGTTCTCTGGACAGGTGTGAAGGTGTGCTCTGTTCTCTGGACAGGTGTGAAGCTGTGTTCCGTTCTCTGGACAGGTGTAAAAGTGTTCTTTTCTCTGGTCAGGTGTGAAGGTGTGTTCTGTTCTCTGGACAGGTGTGAAGGTATGTTCCGTTCTCTGGACAGGTGTAAAGGTGTGTTCTTTTCTCTGGACGGGTGTAAAGGTGTGTTCTGTTCTCTCGACAGGTGTGAAAGCGTGTTCTGTTCTCTGGACGGGTGTGAAGCTGTGTTCTGTTCCCTGGACAGGTGTGAAGGTGTATTCTGTTCTCTGGACAGGTGTAAAAGTGTTCTTTTCTATGGTCAGGTGTGAAGGTGTGTTCTGTTCTCTGGACAGGTGTGAAGGTGTGTTCCGTTCTCTGGACAGGTGTAAAGGTGTGTTCTGTTCTCTGGGCGGGTGTGAAGATGTGTTCTGTTCTGTGGACAGGTGTGAAAGCGTGTTCTGTTCTCTGGACGGGTGTGAAGCTGTGTTCTGTTCCCTGGACAGGTGTGAAGGTGTATTCTGTTCTCTGGACAGGTGTAAAAGTGTTCTTTTCTATGGTCAGGTGTGAAGATGTGTTCTGTTCTCTGGACAGATGTGAAGGTGTGTTCCGTTCTCTGGACGGGTGTAAAGGTGTGTTCTGTTCTCTGGACAGGTGTGAAGGTGTGTTCTGTTCTCTGGACAGGTGTGAAGGTGTGTCCTGCTCTCTTGACAGGTGCCCTGGACTGGAATTTGTGTTCAGGTGTCTTTACAAGTACAACGATGTGTTCTGTTCTCTAAAGAGGTGTGAACGTGTGTTCTTGTCTCTGCAGGTGTGAAGGTGTGCTCATCTGAGGAGTTCAGTTGTGGAGAGATGTGTCTCCCTCGCAGCCTCCTCTGTAACGGCATCCCCAACTGCCCCGCCGAGGAGGACGAGAACAACTGTGCCGGAAAGGAGGGTACGTAAGCAAAGTGACGTCACATGTCTGTACAATAGGCTTCACGAATATCATGCATTCAACTCTGGTACGTCAACATGCAATCCAAAATTAAACCTCTCTTTTACTAACAGGACCGCCGCCATAGAGCTGGAATATTGCTCAGTGCGGCGCAAAACTATACTCACTCACTCACTCTAACAGGGCTTTCTGAAGCCCATGTACTGTCATGATATGATTAGAATAAGATTTAAAACGCCGTAACTTTAGCTTGATAACGGTGTTAGAAACTACACCGAAACGTCCCTCTTGGCAATAAACACGATGTTGATATCCGTTAAGTTGTAAGCTTCGTTACTCAGTCGATCACTCCCATTTCATTATGGGTCGGATGGGGAGACTAGTGGTTATAGCGTTCGCTCGTCACACCGAAGGTCCGGGTTCGACTCCAAACATTACTGCAATGTATAACACCCACATCCTGATTCCCCGCCGTGATATTACAGGAATAATACTTATGGCGGCGTAAAAAGTCACTCACGTCATCATTTGATATTATCGGGACCGAAACTTCCTCATAGTTTTTCTCTAAATAATGTTGTATTGCATATGGCAGGCATTCAAAACATGCCTCTTGAACGTTCCCATGATATTTCAAAATAAAAAGTCTCAAATGTGAGGTTTGATTAATATGGCACCTGAATGTCAAATATTCTCAACTAAAATATACATAGCTCAGAGAGGAAGGAAAATAAAAAATATAAACTGAATTGTATATTTTCAGTGGCTTCGTCCGGAACGACGCTTCCCCTCCACGCTATCATCGCGGGAAGCATTGGGGGAGTCCTGCTGACCGCCATCATCATTGGAGTATGCGTATCGTGCCACTACAAACGCCGGGACAAGCGCAACGAAAAAGAGCTCAACAAGAAGATGCAGCAGAGGAATGCCCTGGAGATGGCCGTGTCCAACTCCTCCACAACCACCTACTCCTTGTCCAGACAGGGCGGCCCGGGGGCCGGGTCCAGCCCCGCGTCCCACCACCCCCAGCTCTCACCCCGCAGCAAGGACAACACCCACCGGTACAGCCTCGGCAGCTCCATCCAACACTCCTCCGAGGGGGACCCTGCGGAAACTATGTCCGACGTCAGCAACTACAAACGTTTCCTGACAATGGAGATGACCCCGGACGAAGAGTCCAGCCCCTGCCCATCCCTCTACAGTCAGACGGGCGTGGTCACAGTGGAGCGGCACCCAGCGTTGGAAACCCCTTACCCCCGCTTCACGTCCAATGCCTGGCGGCCAGAGGACCCCATGCTTTACCCCTACACAAGCTTAAAGAAACCCCCACAGTTCAACGTCACCAAACCATTCTCATATAGCCCCGAAAGCAAGTACATCACAAGCGTACCCTCTTTAAAATATACAAATAATGATATTCGGCCCGAAAATTAATTTTTCAATTTTCAAACAGTTTTCAACCTTTCTGTGTCTTTCATTGTAAATGACATCATGTTTTTCAAATGACATTAAGTGTTTTTTAATGATGTTTGTATCATTGGCCTTTGCCAATCACAAGATGTACATATTACGTACCGAGAATCGTGTTCCCCTGTCACATCAACCGATGTAATTATATTCAGTACGGGTTAACATTCGGAGCTTATCGCTTCACGGCCTTTGTATGATCATATTTATGTGTCATTTTTGTAAATAAACAGAAAAAAAATTCCAAGCGACAATTTTTTTCTTTGTGGTACAGTTATCGTAGAAATGCATGAGTACCTATTCCAAGCATGGTATGCGAGTCCCCCGCGCGTGTTGAAATTAGCTGCCGAAAAGAAGACGGTGAGGTAATTGCAAGTGACAGTCTACTGTAAAACGTCTAGTAGACCTTGACGAACACATACTGCCAATAGTTTCTTACTTTGTAGTCGGTAGTTACGAGCCTGAACCCGGACGTGTTAATCAGCTGCCGACATGTTTTAAAGGAGGGATTCCAGAAGGGCGTGTCCTCTGACTTGGGGGACGTGTGTGGTACAGCCATGGGCAATTAAATAGCCCGCTTCAAGGACAGCGTTTTTTGTGTGTCGGATTCCTTCAAAAACATTTTGTTAGTAATTAGATGTGTTACGCCCGCTGTCACTGAGGGCCGTAGAAGTTGTTGTTTTGTTTTTTCGTCATTAACTGCGAAATAAGTTGGATTTTGGAGATGTTTACGTTTCTGAACTCCCTGTGGAGAATCCCGGGAAATGGTTCCATGTTTGTTGTAACAGTCGAGTAATGTAGAAGGGTGAGATTACGATGTGTGATGTGGCTGAAAGTGTGACGTTTTACTGGCGACGATTAACTACAAATATTCTGGGGGCGGTGCGGGTAGCCCAGTGGTTTAAGCGTTCACCCGTGTCGCGTAAGAGCCGGTTTCTATTCCCCACCTGGGTATAATGTATTCCTGGGATTGTAGTGCTATTGTTTGGTTTCTTTCCTAAAAGCGACGTAAACTATACTCTCACTGACTCACTCACTCACTCACTCACACCCGTGCCTTTCATGCAGACCTGAAACAAATATATCCATGAAAGCACTTGCAAGTCTAGATTGCTGCAGTTTCTGAAAATGAAGTAAGTCTCTTGGCTTCTTTCTGTTTCATATATACAGTAAATTTAAAAGCCTTTCAGCTGCAAAATATGTTCATTTCAGATTTTAGATGCCAGTCCATTTTTTTCTTGGACACAGCTGAATCCGTGAGGCCTATATAACCCTACGATTGTTCAGATTTTGAGATTCGAGGTTTCCGGTGACATTTCCAAAACTTAACCATCCTGGTTCCCGGGCCTCTCATTAGTTTATATAAACTAATGAGAGGCCCGGAAACCAGGATGAAACTTAACTGGAATAGTTTGGATCCTGGTTAGGGTTGCCCTTCAGCAACCCATGTAGTAGGAGGCGACTAACGGGATCAGGTGGTCAGGCTCGCTGACTTGGTTGACACATGTCATCGGTTCCCAATTGCGTAGATCGATGAATTGGATTTTCTGATCCAGTTTATATTATTAACTGACGTCGTCATATAGCTAGACTATTGCTGAGTGCGGCGTCAAACAACAAACAAGCATTTTATTATCAATGGTTCGGGCCACAAACACAAACATAATAACAAAACGCTGTCATATATTTGAAATATTGCTGAGTGCGCCTTTAAACAACGTACCCTTATGCATGCATGCCCAATTCACGGCATGTTGTGCAGGACATTTACTACACTGGTGAAACTCCAGACTATCCAGTGATCATCAACAAACTGACGAACCTACAAACATGATAAACACGATCATAGGTTTCCATGACACCAAAGGGACGCAACTCCACCAAGCGAAAAGAGGTGCCGCAGACCAACAAGGCAACCCGGAAACCCTCAAGGGCCTTCTGGATCTATTTTTAGTTTTTATAAGGACATATGTCTCGATTAGCAACTTAGAAGGTCGATATGGAAGAGTCGATATGGAAGATTATTAATGTTCTTCACTTTTACGAACTTTCTATCAGATTTTTAAATCAAACTTCAAAAGACATTTTAAAACATTTCAACGTTACATATTGTACATGGGGACATAGAAGCGCTTTCTTAAAGCACGGCCATGCCAGTATGAATATCGCCGGTAACTGGTTATGCTGGAATGGTACGTCTTCAGCATGTCGGTTACCTGACTTCCGAGATTCTTTCATCACACAATCTACTCCCAATGCTAAGGGAACACGAGCTGTACAGTCAGACTGCGGTATGTGGTGAATGTGCCAGTCCCGTGTCTACCATTGCAACGTGTGGAAACCTCACTACCTGTCCTGATCAATCTATGGCATCAATATCCATCTTGATCAAGCGTGAAATTATTTCTACCTCCGTGTTAGTTCCGCCATCTTTCACTGGTCGCTTTTCGCCTCTGTCCGTAACCTGCCATTCGGCTGTTCCGGAATGCCACGAGTGGTCACGAATGTCATTTGTAATGGACGTGTAATTCCTGGGCAAACCGAACCAGAGGTTATGGAAACGGGTGAATGGTGACGAAGTGGCAGAACCCTGTCTGTCTTCGATCCAGTTTCAATCGTGACCAACTCCTGCAATTCCGTGTATGTGTGTGGCCTAAGGTGACAAATGACCCTCTTTGTGAAGCAGGACCGAAACCGACAAAAGCCTCAGGTCAATGTCCAGCTGCCAAACCCTTCCTACCATGAAGCTCCCAGAGAATAATGGACTTCCCCAAACCTTGAATTTATAAAAGCCCAAATCCCAAACTTTGAATTTATAAAAGTCAAAATCGGCGCGACTCAGACACACAATTCGAGCCTAGACCGCTAAACTACGGACTGAAATCATGAGCAACGATCTATCGCAAATAGCCCACTCGTCGACCTTGACCACCCGATCCACCTTATTTCGAAGTTACGACAGAGAATGAGGCCCTCACAGGAATCCCTATGGTATTGCACCTGGAGAAGAAAGACTTGTTTTGGGGGTAGTTGACATTAGTTACAGAATTAATGAGGCAGAGGAGATTCTGGGAACCCCAAACTTGTAAGAACCGACCAACTGAGAATCGGTTGGACACAATGGGAGTGTGATCAACTGTCACATTTTGTGTTACCGTTCGATAGTCCTTCTTGTTATCAACCACCGGTTCTAACGGTTCATGGTCAATTATTTATCGTGATCTAGCGATTCTGTTACGACTGCGGCGAAAAACAACATCCCCTCTCAGTACACAGACTAGCAAACAACGTACAAGTGTAGTACCACAGAACAACGTTAAACTATCCGGGGCGGTGGGGTAGCCTAGTGGTTAAAGCGTTGGCTCGTCACGCCGAAGACCCGGGTTCGAATCCTCACATGGGTACAATGTGTGAAGCCCATTCCTGGTGTTCCCCCGCCGTGATGTAGCTGGAATATTGCTAAAAGCGGCGTAAAACCAAACTCAGTCAGTCAGTAAGTCAGTTAAACTATCCTCGCATTCTGTAAACGCTACTCCGCTAGGTTAACATGTGCGATCTGTAGTGCCACACTCAACAACATTCCAACTATATCAAGGAAGTCGCTAAATATTTGAGTCTAGTGCCATGTCAAGTGCCATCTTTGGCACTTACCAATCTCATTAAAATCAGATCTTAAATCTACTACAGTAGTTGGATGTCCCCAGATATTCGTTTGAATTTTCGTTCACATGCAGATACATGTATCATATCCAAAGTGGTTTCAATGTCAGAAATCTGTAGTAAAGTTCTGAGAGACTTGAAAAAATATGTGTGCCTAAAAATGGTATAAATACGAAACGAAAAAATCCAACATTTCGAGTACAGGGTCCTCATACACCTTCATCCTACCTATATTTTTCATAATTTGTAAGTATTCACTTCCTAATAATGCTATAAATATGTTTGGTCTGTTTGGTGTTCATGAAGGAAATATGGTTCTATTTAGATTGTTGACTTTATAGTCGAGCAAATTCTAAATTTGAATGAATTTTTAATTTTGACAAATATGAATGAAAACTACAGCCTTTTACTCTTCACAATAATGGTTAAAAGAATTTGTTAAAAATCTTATCAAAACGTTACTAGGCTGAAAACAGTCGTTGAAACAATGTCAACCTAAGGTCCAAAACACAATTAAGTTATTAACTTATTATATTATCAAATCCATCACCATCGAGACACAAGTTATTGCTTATTTCAAGTTTAGCCAGTTATAATTAAAGTAGGTCTATACTTCCATTAGTTTATAAATGTAGATGGTACATCCGAGCGTATAAAAGAGATATTACGGTAACAATCACGATAGAGCTGTTGTACTTGGCACGGCCCATACCTGACACGAACAGTACAAGAAACCCCAACATGTCGTCTTCTTCATCTTTTCTTACACGTCAGTTTGGGTTTAATGGTAAATGTTTTTAGTGTTCATCCTCGCTAGACCTCACACCAGGAACTCCGGTTTTTATCATCGACCATCTGGCTTTTCTATATGTTTTTACAGGATTTTACGTTATAGGACGTTCTTAGCATACATCAATCAAAGGTATGGTAACGCCCTTAGGTAACATCTAAACTCGTTCTCGTGTATTCTTTAGGGTAGAACAAAGGCAAATACGTGAGAAAAACAGCCTTTTCGCATTAGTATTCCTACGCGTGCGCCGGTTTCTAAACTTAAGGTAGTTAGCAGTAAGAATCCGTGACAAAATGTAGTTTGTACAAAAGAAGGATATTTACAGACACTTTTAGTAGCAAATGAGTCATAAATTACGCTACTTGATTTCCAAAATATCTTGAAAAAGGGATCGTAATAACAATCACTGGAGAGAGGGGTCCAGAGGTGATGAGTTCAACCTGTGTTCCAAAGAGGGTCGAGATTTCCAAACTAAAAAAAACTAACGAAAGAACAGAGAAGGTATAGTTTAGTTTTCCCCAGGGCGTTGATTCCTAGGATAACTAGAAACATAAACAGTGCCCCCTGTTGACAAAATGCATGGGCTTTTATCATTAATACTTCTAAAGCCGAATTTATTTTCAAAGAAATCTTCCTTTTGTATATTGTCCTATGTTTTTCCCTCAAATAAACATTCAGAGATACAACCTTTATGAAGAACAAAGGAAGTTCCTGACTTCGCAGAGAAAACATGTTTTAATCAAATTAAACATGTTTCTTCGTGAGATAACACCGTGTTATCTGTACGGGTGTG